TTGAGGCATGCCAGCTGGGTCATATCAAGTCACTCAGGCGCTGCTGTCAGTCCTAGGGTTGCCAGACTCCAGGTGGGACCTGGAGATCCCCCAGATTTACAACTAAATTCAAGACAACAGAGATATGTCCCCCTGGAGAAAATGGCTACTTTGGAGGGTGGGCTCTGTGTCATTATCCCATGGAGAGGCCTCTCCCCTACGCAAACCCTGCCCTCCTCACACTTCACCACAAAATCTCCAGGAATTTCCCAACCTGGACCCGGGAAACCTAATCAGGCTTGGCCCCAATAAATCCTCCCTCAAAGGCCAAAATAGGGCTGGAAAGGGTTCTGTCCCCTTCCCCTGCCTTTTTACTCACAAAAAAAAAACAGCTGGGAATACTGTAGTTACCACTAAGGGAATCCATTTGTAAAGCTACATGTGCTCCTTTACCATTTTCAGATTTTATTTATTTATTTTGTTCAATATATATCCTGCCCTTCCCACAAGCGAGCTCAAGGGGGGGGGGTAAGCCTCAGGAGAAAATACCCAGACAGTTTTTTAAAAATCATATAAACAATAATAGTTAAAACAGTTAAAAGAAAGTTAATCTAAGTGGCAATAATTTCTAAGTCCTGCGGCAGTAAAACAGCAACAAAGAGAGGGCTCACCGGCCAAAAGTGCAATAACAGATCAGTAACATGGGCAGGTTTCAAGGGGCGATTTTCAGCAGGGGAGGCCCAAATAATTGGGAGTCCGCCATCTCAGCCAAAGGCCTGGCAGAATAGCTCCGTTTCACAATTTTTTAAAACTCCCCAATGTATGTTTTTTAGGTTTCACATTTTTTTGCAAACCTGGGCCCCTTTTCAGGTTTGTAGAAAGACCTGTCATGCCCATTCACAGCCCCAGCCACTAGATAAGTATCCAAAGATTTGCCATCTTCACTATTAGAATATAAGATTCTGCATCTGCATTCTTTGGGAACACTGACTTGTCCCTGGAAGTGGGGCGGAAAAGGTAAATTATTTCTTCCTCCCAGGTTGTTGTTTCTCCTTTTTGGGGGGAGTGGTACTAATAACACTGCAAGAAACTCCATAAATGTGCCTTTGTGCAACCCAATTGTGCCTTCTTTTAAAACGTGGATTTCTTGAATTGTGTACAGGAGTTTATCTGTAATTAGGTAAAGCACAGTCAACGAAGATGAAGAAAAAGTAAGTCAGAAGGATTCAGCAACCTTCATCCACAGGCAAAAGACAGATATGCAGATTCCCGGTCATATCTTTTTTGCAGAAGGATCATTGATATGATGGGAAAAGGGGCTTCAGCCTGAACCATCATTGTTTTGTTTTCATAATATATTAAATTGCCACTATTAGCATTCAGTGCCATCTTTCCAGAAGCACTTTGTGGTTGTTATGGTCTACTTTATTTGGAGGGGGCAAGAAAGTCACAGTCAGCAGTTAAAAACCACTACTTTTGTGACCCATTTAATTGCCAACATTTGCCTTGTTTCTAGAAGCATTTTAAAGTAAGAGTTTTTTATTTATCCATCTGTTTAATGGGGATTGTAGCTGACAAGCAGCACTCACATGCTGGTGGTGGATAAAACTGAGGTATGCTGTCTCTGAAGGTTCCACTGATCTATCACGTTTGTCACTGAAAAGTTCTTCAGCGGTTTATGAGCAATGCCGAGGGAAGAGCTATGAACGTTTGCAGGCTTGGAAGGCATTGGCTGTCCCCACTGGTCTGAAACAGCACAAGTCTTCCAATTACACAACTCTCTCCATTTTAGAAAGCCATTCAATTTGCTACAAAATCTAGTCTGTTCGCTCCACCCACTGCATCTGCTCTTTGAATGTTATCTTGCCTCCCCTGCTCAAAGCCTTTGCACAGGGACATGCTATATTAAGCTATATATTAAGATATATTCAACTTACTTGAAGGGTGAAGGTAGACAATATCTTTTACTGTAAAGTCTCGGGCTTGAATTACTTTCAGGTGGCTGGCAAGCAGACTAAGGAGGAAGACCCAGGCCAGCAAAGGCCAGGATTCCATGGCAGAGGGGGAACCTCAAACATACGGATTTCTTGGGAGTGGGTTCTCCTTGTCTCCAGAAGAAAAATGCACCTAGAATGCAGAAATTGGAAAAAAAGGAGAAAAACAAGTGAGTTAAATCTAATAGCCAGATATCATATCTGTATACACTTCAAATGTCTGAGCGGTAGAGCATCTGCTTGGCAGGCAGAAGGTCCCAGGTTCAATCCCCAGTTAAAAAGATCTGGCAGTAGGTGATTTGAAAGACTGCTTGAGACCTTGGACAGCCACTGCCAGTCTGAGTAGACAATACTGACTTTGATGGATCACAGGTCTGATTCAGTACAAGGCAGCTTCATGTGTTCATGTGTAGGGAGCGGTGAAGCCCAACTGTAGTTTCCTGATGAAGAACAGCAAGTATGCCACTGCCCAAGGGATTGACATCTCTGCCACACCTGCCTCTTCCAAACTTGATTGCCAAATCAAAGGGATCACTATGAAAATACACAAATGTCTTCAAGGCAGAGAAGGAGCATTCTGGCATAGAGTAGCATAGCCAAAAGTTTAGTTACATCCCAAAATTCAATCCCTAGCTTCTCTCAAGTTAAAGAAACTTTAGCAGCAAAGCTAGAAAAAAGTTATTTAGAAAAGAACAAGACACAAAGATCCTTGGCTTGGATCTGATGTTGTGTCATACCCACTGCCTCTTTTTTATTACATGTTATTGTTTGTATTTGTTATGACAAAACTGAAATAAAAAGTTTATTCAAAAAAAAAAAACCCACTGCCTCTTCTCCCTTCACTGCAGGTACAGGAGAATGCAGCCTGTGTGTGACAGTTGCTGAAGGCAGATATGATGACATTTGATGAGGGTAATGATACAAACTCGTGTCCCTGGGGCTTGCAAAGTTGTCACTGCATTCTTCCCTATATCCTGGAGATATCATGTACGGGTGTGAAGGCCATCACATAGGCGGTTGGGATTGAGTCCACGGAAACATGACCATTTGCTCCAGATCAGACTCATGTGGAATCTTACCTTATGGTAAGCCCACATCCACATCTGAGATGGAAACAGGTGATGACCTCAGAGATGGGTTTCTCCTGCAAGGTTGGCATAAGCTTGGGAGTAAAGATGGGAGCAATCTGCTGAGAGTCCAATTTGCATTTCTCCTGGTTCTTTGGCATGCCTTTAGCCTTTTTGGCTGGCAGTCCAGAGGAGGCATGATGAAGCAAAGGGGAGCACAACCAAGATTGGATCCTCTGAGACACAGATCTGGGAGGTGAAGCTGAACGTGTTGATTCCAAAGACATGGAATTGGGAGCTTTCTCCTGGGTTGGATAAGGGCTCAGAGACTTTAAGAGTTTTCTTCCACAGTGCTGCCTTAAATTTTGATGCCCTATCCCCCCAAGCTTGAGGGGTGAAATGTTGGCAGGCCTTACATGTAGAGACACTGTGCCTCAGAGCCTCTCACCCAAACAGAACAGACAAAGGTCATGTTTGAGAGTTTGGGTCATCTTTGAAAAGTGCCTTCTGAGCCATGGAACAAACCAAATGTCTCTCCAACAAAACTGGAGCAATTCCTCTCGAACACAACTATAACTGGGGATGCCAAAAATCACGACCTTTTCCTTTGGTGGCAAAAGAGGAACTGAGGTTGGGGGCGCTGCTGTGCAGGATCACATGGTCCCTGGGTGGGAACAAGCTTCTGGCTCCAGTACACAGCACCCCCCTGGAGGCTTGTAGTTATAAAGACCTATCTGATGGCAGGCCTGCTCATGTGCAGTTCCCATTTGGGACTGCACAGAAGACTGATGATGAAAATTACAGTCTTTCTCCACAGTGGGGACCAAAGCATTTGATATTATTTTCTCCTCCCTTTTAGCTGCACAATAACCATGTGAGAGAGGTTACAGTACAGTGAATGTGTGTGACTGGTCCAAAATCACTGAGTCAGCTTCTACAGCAAGATGGGGATCTGAACCCGGGTCTCACAGGCCCTACTCCAAAGCTCTAACGGCTACACCACACTGGCTTTCATAAAGTGGCTGCTGTTGAACAATAGCAGGCAGCCAGACCTAGTTGAGGCATGCCAGCTGGGTCATATCAAGTCACTCAGAGGCTGCTGTCAGTCCTAGGGTTGCCAGACTCCAGGTGGGACCTGGAGATCCCCCAGATTTACAACTAAATTCAAGACAACAGAGATATGTCCCCCTGGAGAAAATGGCTACTTTGGAGGGTGGGCTCTGTGTCATTATCCCATGGAGAGGCCTCTCCCCTACGCAAACCCTGCCCTCCTCACACTTCACCACAAAATCTCCAGGAATTTCCCAACCTGGACCCAGCAAACCTAATCAGGCTTGGCCCCAATAAATCCTCCCTCAAAGGCCAAAATAGGGCTGGAAAGGGTTCTGTCCCCTTCCCCTGCCTTTTTACTCACAAAAAAAAAACAGCTGGGAATACTGTAGTTACCACTAAGGGAATCCATTTGTAAAGCTACATGTGCTCCTTTACCATTTTCAGATTTTATTTATTTATTTTGTTCAATATATATCCTGCCCTTCCCACAAGCGAGCTCAAGGGGGGGGGGTAAGCCTCAGGAGAAAATACCCAGACAGTTTTTTAAAAATCATATAAACAATAATAGTTAAAACAGTTAAAAGAAAGTTAATCTAAGTGGCAATAATTTCTAAGTCCTGCGGCAGTAAAACAGCAACAAAGAGAGGGCTCACCGGCCAAAAGTGCAATAACAGGTCAGTAACATGGGCAGGTTTCAAGGGGCGATTTTCAGCAGGGGAGGCCCAAATAATTGGGAGTCCGCCATCTCAGCCAAAGGCCTGGCAGAATAGCTCCGTTTCACAATTTTTTAAAACTCCCCAATGTATGTTTTTTAGGTTTCACATTTTTTTGCAAACCTGGGCCCCTTTTCAGGTTTGTAGAAAGACCTGTCATGCCCATTCACAGCCCCAGCCACTAGATAAGTATCCAAAGATTTGCCATCTTCACTATTAGAATATAAGATTCTGCATCTGCATTCTTTGGGAACACTGACTTGTCCCTGGAAGTGGGGCGGAAAAGGTAAATTATTTCTTCCTCCCAGGTTGTTGTTTCTCCTTTTTGGGGGGAGTGGTACTAATAACACTGCAAGAAACTCCATAAATGTGCCTTTGTGCAACCCAATTGTGCCTTCTTTTAAAACATGGATTTCTTGAATTGTGTACAGGAGTTTACCTGTAATTAGGTACAGCATAGTCAAGGAAGATGAAGAAAAAGTAAGTCAGAAGAATTCAGCAACCTTCATCCACAGGCAAAAGACAGATATGCAGATTCCCAGTCATATCTTTTTCGCAGAAGGATCATTGATATGAAGGGAAAATGGGCTTCAGCCTGAACCATCATTGTTTTGTTTTCATAATATATTAAATTGCCACTATTAGCATTCAGTGCCATCTTTCCAGAAGCACTTTGTGGTTGTTATGGTCTACTTTATTTGGAGGGGGCAAGAAAGTCACAGTCAGCAGTTAAAAACCACTACTTTTGTGACCCATTTAATTGCCAACATTTGCCTTGTTTCCAGAAGCATTTTAAAGTAAGAGTTTTTTATTTATCCATCTGTTTAATGGGGATTGTAGCTGACAAGCAGCACTCACATGCTGGTGGTGGATAAAACTGAGGTATGCTGTCTCTGAAGGTTCCACTGATCTATCACGTTTGTCACTGAAAAGTTCTTCAGCGGTTTATGAGCAATGCCGAGGGAAGAGCTATGAACGTTTGCAGGCTTGGAAGGCATTGGCTGTCCCCACTGGTCTGAAACAGCACAAGTCTTCCAATTACACAACTCTCTCCATTTTAGAAAGCCATTCAATTTGCTACAAAATCTAGTCTGTTCGCTCCACCCACTGCATCTGCTCTTTGAATGTTATCTTGCCTCCCCTGCTCAAAGCCTTTGCACAGGGACATGCTATATTAAGCTATATATTAAGATATATTCAACTTACTTGAAGGGTGAAGGTAGACAATATCTTTTACTGTAAAGTCTCGGGCTTGAATTACTTTCAGGTGGCTGGCAAGCAGACTAAGGAGGAAGACCCAGGCCAGCAAAGGCCAGGATTCCATGGCAGAGGGGGAACCTCAAACATACGGATTTCTTGGGAGTGGGTTCTCCTTGTCTCCAGAAGAAAAATGCACCTAGAATGCAGAAATTGGAAAAAAAGGAGAAAAACAAGTGAGTTAAATCTAATAGCCAGATATCATATCTGTATACACTTCAAATGTCTGAGCGGCAGAGCATCTGCTTGGCATGCAGAAGGTCCCAGGTTCAATCCCCAGTTAAAAAGATCTGGCAGTAGGTGATTTGAAAGACTGCTTGAGACCTTGGACAGCCACTGCCAGTCTGAGTAGACAATACTGACTTTGATGGATCACAGGTCTG